CCCCTGCGCCGATGAGCAATGAACCTTTGGGTGCTCCGATGGCATGCCCATAGTCTCCGTCTCTTGCTTGTATGTATCCCCTCCATGGGTTCCTCGCGCTTGCCCAAGCGCCCCGCACAGTATGTTGTAGGCCAAGACCCTTCCTCCGATCCGAGTCGCCTTACTTTCGAGTGAGTGACAGCGTCGAGTCTTTTCGTCTTCGGTATGCGAGGGTCACGAGAGCGTCAAGGGTGGCCGCCATGAGTACCGATCCGAAGATGCGAGGTAAGGCATCGATAGTCGGCTTCGAATGTCAAGCTTGACTGCTCTCACCAGGCACTCCGCGAGGGTGTCAGCATGGCCAAGCTACTGCCTCCCAGGTGAGAATGGCTCAGCATCATGCCGCCAGGAAATCGACAGCGAGATGGACTATCGTTATGGTAGTTGCCAGCCTTGGACCAGTCATGGGGGCTTGTGCTTCGGCTCTTGCGCAGTGCTTCAGCAATGCTTGTCGCTGAGGGTTGTCGGCGGAGGTGAGGGCGGAGGTGTGTCGGAGGCAGCTTTGAAGTCAACCCAAAGAGGATGTCGCTGCCCATGCGAGGCTACAGCAGCAGCTTGTTGTCTGTAAGCCAAAGCATCAGCAATGTCCCTGCACGTTCTCTTGCCCTTGCTGGGTGATGTGTGTGGCTTCGAGGCGGGGTAGCTGCGGAGGAGGCAGGTTCAGGGAGGGGCAGCGAAGGTCAAGGATTTCGGCGGCAAAGACGAGAGGCACTTACTGCGGTCTTTCTGAAGCTCCTCTCGCTGTGTGAGGCTCGCAGAAGGATGCCAAAGACTTTCGTTCGGCGGGTGAGGTTCGCAGCGACGGCTCCCGGCTGTCCTGAACCTCACTCGCAACGCCAGAAGCTGCGACAAGCGCGCAGGCTTACTGAGCGGGATGAAGGAGGTGTTCTGAAGCTTCGAGTCTACCCCATGTTGCTGTCGAGGGTGGGGGGGGGAGGGCAGGAGGCTACGATGGGTTTTGGAAGACTTCCGCGGAGGCGGTTTCCGCGCTGTATGCGGCCGGGGGCAGTCATTCAAGTCGATGATGATGATCTGCGAGTACTTGTAGAGCTCCTCAGGGAAATGCAGCTCGATCGCAGGGGGTTGATGTGGGAGCTGCGGTGGTGGAGGGGCATGGCTGGGAATTTGGTGATGGAGACTTTGGTGTTGCAGCAATGAACTTCAGTTGACCCAAAGACCGTGCATTGTTCGGCTTCACCAACCAGCGCCACGCTACACCACACCCTCCCCAACTCCTGAGGCCGAGTCTATGGATTGCCCCTCTCCGTCTGCCCGTACTGGCTGCCTTGAGGCCCCTTCCTTGCCTCAGAATGGCAGGCAATACCATGTACGACGTCGTGGTGCTATCCTCGAGTCCGCCAGCCGCTTCCCCGCTACATGATGCCCCCTCCCGTCGCGTCGCCATGCTTGCGTCCTCACCTCTCGCATTCTCCCCTCCTGCGAGCCCCCTCAGACCGACAGCCGGCGCGTCGAAGAGCAATGCACGAGCTGCTCCTATCCCCGAGGGAGCTGTCAGAGGATTCGCCACCGTGGGCAGCCTTATACGCTCCGAGCACTTCACAAGCCGCCTCGACGACGATTTCGATGCAATACAACAAGCGCAACCACGGCGGACTTCACAGGATACCATAGAGCCCCCTCTGGCTGCGGAGAAGCCCAAGAAGCGGACTACGAAGAAGGCCACAGCTACTACTACCGCTGCAGACGGCTCCGAGAAGCCCAAACCGAAGCCTCGAGCGCGCAAAGCGAAACCCAAGTCAGACAAAGAGATCCTCGACTCTGACGACGAACTCCGACGCCCGCCGCAACGACCTACAAAGTCTCCTTTCTTCGACGATGATGCGACAGAACCTCCGGTCGACCCTGCGGCACCAGCTGCGGATGCGCCGAAGCTGACCAAGTCTGGCAAGCCCCGTAAGCCTCGCGCGAAGAAGGTCAAGACTGGAGAAGATGGGGCTGAGCCTGCGCCAAAGCCAAAGAAACCGAGGGTCACAAAGGCGAAAGCAGGGGCGACGAAGGGCAAGCAGGGAGAGGCGTCGCTTGTGTCTGCGCATTTCGGAGGTGGAGCAGACGGAGGCCAGGAGTCGGCAACACGGCCTTCTGCAGAGGACCACGACACTCAAGCCAAGCCTCAGTCGATCTGGGAAGTGCCAGACAGCCCAAAGCCGAAGAAGAAGGCTGCACCCAAGCAGCGACAGCCAGATCCCATCGCAGAAGGTTTGGAGTTGGAGGAGGCTGTTGTAAGGAGGAGAGACTGGACGCCACCACCCGATACCACAATCGCATCGCCGTTCACCGACTCGACCGGAAAGGAGAATAAGACCTTATCGCAGAACGCTGATGGCTCCTTTACAAACCTCCTCTCCAACTTCGCCTACGCACAATCGCCATCTGCGCAGATCGCTGCGAAATCGAACAACGCAGCAGGGGCGGTGGCAGCGACAAAGCGGCGGAGAATCGAGCTTGTCGAGATACCCAGCAATAACACCAACTCCAGAGACTCGTCTCCCGAGAAAGGGAAAGCACCGAAGAAGAAACCGCGCACCATCACCGACCTCGTTACAGAGCAGTATGCCTTGAAGGATGCACAACCAGTTCCAGACGATGCGACTAGCAACTTCTTCGAGTCCCGAGCTTCGACAACTACAACAAAGGTGCCGCTGAACGATGCATCGGCGGCGGACGGCGATACAGCACCAAAGAAGCCAGTGCGCAGGCGTAACAGCTCGAAGTCAGGCACAGAGAAAGCAGATCCCAAGCCGAGGTCGAAGAAAGCATCTTCGAAAGCAGCCGCCAAGCCCAAGCCTGTCGCGGAGAAGCTTCTCAGCCCTTCGTCGGCAATGTCGCGTTTGCAGCAACAGGACGTCTTGTTCGGAACATCAAGTCAGCTTGTGCTTGAAGAGTCGCCGACAATGGTGCGTCAACTACAGTATGCGCTGAAGGAGTCTGAGCAGGACGCCGACAATGTTGCTTATGGCGCGCCACCGCCATGGTCACGGCTGGGCAGGGTGGAAGGCAAGCGTGGACTTTGGGCTGCGAGTGCAAGAGACGACGAGGGCGGCATGCTTGAGCATTTAAAGGACGTTTACATACCCGAGCCCGACCGAACGCAAGACATCCCATTGCTCATGGATGGCACTACCGATGCGCCTGATGAGCAAGGCGATGATCAATCTGACTTCATAGATATTGACGATATACCTCCGGACCCGCCGCCACCAATTGCCATATCTTCTGATCCGCCGATGCCTCCTCCCAGCACTTCACGCGCCACCCCAATGGCGAAGTTTCGTAACGATGATGATCAAATGATAGATACGGGCTTCAGGGACATTGACGACTTCATGCAAGAGCCTCCACCTTCGGGTCAGAAACCTGTCTCACCAGATAGTTTTGTCGACATCGACGACTTTGACTTCCCGCCCTCTGCGCAGATGCGGAAATCGCCGGTCTCGATCTTCAAACCTCCAGCCTCAGCACCAACGCCCATGGACGGCTCTCCCAAGAAGCGCGGAAGGCCGACGAAATCGCATTCTGCAAAACCTACATCAGTCTCCGCGTCATCGACGCCAAACCTGAAGCCCCGCGCGAAGTCAAAGATCAGAACTAAGATGCCATCGACCCCTCCCACAGGCTCAGGTCGCTTCATCGACATAGACGAGATCCTCGACTCCGAAGACGAAGCCCTACAGCTCCTCTCCCCCACGCCGCCCCGGACAACTAAACATGTCAACTCGCAACCTCTGTCTCTAATCACCCTCTCTCCCACAACCTCACCCAGCAAAGCGGCGAACGCGAAAGCCTCAGCGGCCGATTCAAGTCTAGCACCCATCCACCGCATACCTACCCCGCTTCTCGAATGGCCGAACATCAAAGCCCAGGTCTTTGCTCAGATAACGAGTCACATCCGGTCTTTGCCTCCAACCACCGACCCCAGCAAGCCCACCTGGCACGAAAAGATCCTCATGTACGACCCCATCGTCATCGAAGACTTTACCGCGTATCTCAACGCCCACACACCCATCCGCGTATACAAGAAAGCTACACAGAAGCAAATCAAGGCCTGGAATGCGGATTTGAAGAAGCAGGACATGGAGGCGGTACATCTGGGCGTGGGGCCAAGCAGGGAAGGGGATGGATCGGAGGTGTTTGCTGTGGAGAAGGAACTAGAGAGCACGATGGTGCAGGGGTGGTGTGAGAGCTTGAGTGTTTGTTGCATTTGGGGGGAGAATAGGACGAAGAAGGGGACGGCTAGGAAGGGGTTTTATTGATGATGTTAGATACCTGGATACTGAGCTATGTTGGCCAGATAGCCTTGGGTGATAATGCAAATTTTAACAATTTTCTCGGAGACCGTGGGGACCGGTAAGATCCCAATGATACGTTGTTTGAAGTCTATTCTCGCTCGTTGAGGTGTCAGACGCCGGAAGGGGCGAACTGTCATGTCAGCTCACCATTTTCGACTTACCAACCCACCAACGTACACACTCGAAGTTCCTTGCGCGAAGACTCCGAGCACGAAGCCCCGAAACAGATGACGTCGATCCACCGGAGCGGGATCGGGCGGACGCTAGCAGATTAGATCCACTACCACCACCACACGGGATAAAACCCACTCCTTCCCGACTCCTTCCCGTGGGTTCATGTACGAGATGCATACGCGCACTACATGCCTCCCGCAATCCGCACAAAGCATCAATGCGCGGTATGCGACAAAGTCTACTCCACCAATAGCCATCTTCGCCGCCATGAAGCGTCACGTGAGTTTACCTTGCACGGTGAATTACCCGCAGCTCACAATAGACAGATTTCGGCAGGCAAGACTTGACATGTCCGTCATGTCACGCGCAGTTTACGCGACGGTGGGTTCAACTCAAGATGGATGTGCGTGTTGCATGGAGCTGACAAAGACAGTGACCTCGCTCGACGCCACCTGGCAAACTGCTCTTCCGCCCACGGCGATGACGTAAGTCTACCCACGTTGAGGCGCGGCAGAAAGCGAAACTCCTGCGATAGATGTTCGCAACGCAAGCTGTCGTGCGATACGAAAATGCCATGTGTGCGTTGTCGCGACGGTGGCGCGGTGTGTACATACAAGCGGTTGGACGGCGTTTCTGCAGGTGCTACTGCATCTGTCGGAAGCAGCCAAGATGGTACTGAGACCAGTACCGACCGACAGCGCGTGGGCATCTCCATCGACTTCCTCCTCAATTTTACGAATCCCTCGGGTTACCGTCCGTCCGCTGCCATCGCTGCTGAGGCTGCTGAGCTCGATGGGGCAGATGGCGAGGCGCACGTACAGTCACACGCTCAAGATCGAGATATGACGCAGGACCAGTCGTTCTTTGAATTCGCCGACTTGCCTTCTGTGTTCTTTGGTTTCCCTTTCCTGGTGTCGGGGAGAGAAGCCGACTACGCGTCTCCGATCATCAGCGATAGTCTAACACCTGAACTGGAAGATGCGTACGCCTTGGAAGTACGTGTGAGGGAAATGCTACAGCATTTATCTGCCAAGCACAGCTCGATGCTGGAACGCGGTGATGCAGTTGATGCAACATTCGATTATCAACTTGCCGAAACCGTCTTTACAGTTGGCAATGTGCGGCACTTTGTTTGGGCCTTCTTTCGCTACTTTCACTACTCCTTTCCCATTCTGCATAAGCCGACGTTCGATATACAGACAGTGTCTTTCCCGCTTTTACTCGCGCTCGTTTTGTTTGGGTCGCTGCCGACTCTGGAGTCTGATACCTCCATTGGCGTACGACGGTTCTCACACGTTGCGGAGGCATACGTTTTCGACCAACTGGTGTTACTGCAGACATCGCAAGCTGATCATTCGGCGTGGGTCGACGATGAACATCTCCAGTTGTTGCAAGCAGGTCTATTGTTCCTGGTGTTTCTAAACAACAGTAACGACATCGTTACAAGAACGCGAATCCGCCTCCAGCGCATTCCCTCCCTTGTCGCTGCTGTGCGAGCTTCAGGCTTGTTTGCGCACAAACAGCGTCACGTTATCTCCAGTCAAAATAAACATGACTGGCAGGGGTTCATCAACGATGAGATGCGATCGAGGTACCAGGGCCCCGTCCGCACTACATACATGAAGCCACTAACAACACTCGCAGATTGGGTATGTGGACCTGCCTTTTCGACAGCACGCTCTCCGTCTTCTTCAACAATACCCCACAAGTTGCCATCTGTGAGGCGATAGGTGATCTTCCCTGCGAGGAGAGTTTGTTCAGAGCCGAGTCGGCCGCCGACTTTGCGCGTCTTGCATCGCATCAGCTTCCGCGACCACGAGTCGAGACATTACCCGAACTCATGTCACGTACCCTTTTTTCCCCTGTTGGACAGCGCGCCGATGAGCCCGGGGAAGCCGTCTCACCACCACATATGCTGATACTCATCTGCGGTCCGTACTCACATCACCCATCCTATTGTGACCCCGCTGACTCTCATAGCACTGCTGTCTATTGTCATGACATCTAGAATGAACTTCCTCACTTCTATGAACACAGAGCCGATGTTTCGCGCCACCGACCGATGGAAGACGCTGTGGGATGTAGTAAGCCGAGATAGCGAAGGAAATTTCTTGCCTGATCTGGGGTTCGAGAAGCACGCCGCGGAGTACTGGTGGCTTACGAAGACCATCCTGAGGGTCTCGAGATTGAGGGGTAGGAGCTGTCGTTACATGCAACCTGCACCTTGTGACTCGACGCAGGACTTGCATGACTTCGTGAGGAGGTATAAGGATTTTGTTGTGTAGACGTGGGCAACTCGAGATAATGTCAGAGATGCTGTGTTTTACACTCGATAGCACAGAATTAATCATAACGTATACCCTTCTACCAAAGCGATCGCTCCTCAGTCAGTAATGCTTAGCCAGACAGGACTAGCGTGTGGGTCTATCTCCGGATGCTGGGTCTATCGCCGAGATGGGTTCATCGCCGAACCTTCGATGCACTACCGCCCCCCCGCGCTGCATCTCGCGAATCTAGATCTCAGCGCCCGCGGAATCCGACGCGATCATGGAGACGATTAGCGCGTTCTTATGCAAGGGCCCAGGGCCGCGACTGATGAAGACGTCAGCGTGCTGATTAGTATATACCTTGAACGCATCCGCCGAACTTGCTCCAAGAAGAAGCGCGTCTACAACATTGTCTGACACATTTGCTACCTAAAGTATTTCTTAGATGTTAATTTGCAGCATGGCTCTAAGAAGATCGACGAGAGCGGCGACACGCACTGCACAACAGACCGCGAGTAGTGCGATGAAGAGAAGACACTCTGGTTCGTCGACTGGTGAAGAGACGCTCAGCAAGCGCGTCGACAGCCGAGCAGCAAATCGTTCCGCAAAAAGAGATGGAATCGCGCAAAACAGTGATGCAGACAAGAAGAAGCCAAGCGACCAGGCCAGCAATGTCAAAGCAGAGGAGCCCACAGCCGGCGCCGACGATGGCGCAGACAAGAAATGGAAAGCATGGTCCGCCCACGCGACATCCACGCCATACCCTGACTTCGGCCACCCCACAAACCGCGAGTGCCAACTAGCCTACGACATCCTTCACAAACTGCACAACAGCGCCGTGGAAGCCGAATTCGAAGATACCAACACACCCGAGACAATCCCATTCGTCCTCGACGCCCTCATCGTCGCCGTGCTCAGCCAAGCCACGAGCTGGAACAATGCGAAACGCGCAATGGACAGCATGAAAGACATCTACGGCTCGGTGTTCGCCTACGAGGAGATATATAATGGGGGTTCGGAGAAACTACAAGAGACTATTCGCTGCGGCGGCTTGCACGTCCGAAAGACCAAGATCATCATGTCCATCCTCGAGGAAGTGAAGCGTCGCTACGGACGCTGGAACCTGGACCATCTTCTCGAAGCCAACGACGAAGATGCCATGAAAGAGCTCATGAGCTACAAGTACGTGGGCCCAAAGTCTGCGTTCGTAGTAATGGGCTGGTGCTTGAAGAGGAACAGGTTCACGGTTGACACGCATGTGTATCGTATCGCTGGCCTGTGGGGATGGAGGCCGAAGGAGGCGAGTAGGGAGAACACGCAGTTGCATTTGGATGCGGTGATCCCACCGGAGCTGAAGTTTAAGTTGCACTTCTTTCTTATTCAGCATGGAAGGACTTGTCCTGCGTGCCGCGGTGGGAGCAAGGATACGAAGGGGTGTGAGGTGCTTAGGGAGGTGAAGCAGGAACTGAAGAAGACGAATTAAGAGGTGAATGATGGATAACACTGTCAGTATACGCGCTCATCAGCGGTGACGCCGTCCTCGACGCAACAGCCTCAACGGCACTCCCAGCGTGTCTCAGTCAATTCACCATTCACCAACACACACCCATCGCTGTGCCTCTCACCCTCCCTCTATATAAACAGCGATTTCCAAGCCCAACCCTCTATTCCCTTTCCAACAACCACCCACTACCACAATCTTCACCACATTACCACAAACTCCCAAAGCCACATCACACCACCACAACAAACCACCTTCAACCACACTACCACCACAACAACAATGACCACACCAGCCCCAACCTCCTCATACACCTACTTCTGCTGCAACCCCTCTTGCTGCGCCGCCAACATCGTGCACAACGTTCCGCGGAGCCCATATCCGCAGTTCCAGCACCAGTTCAAGTGCGCAAAGTGCGGCGCCCAGCAACTCACTGGCATGTGGCAGGAGTACCACGGTGATACCGGTCAAGGACACAAGGGGTTCTGAGATGCCGGCTGGAGCAGACGAGAGAGTTGGGCGTCGTCGGGTGAGGGGGCGAGAAGGGGGTTGCAGAAGACATGGGGGGTTGAGGTTTGCGGGGAGTCAGGATGGAGGGCGATGTAGCTGTCACGATACCCAGTGGTGATGATAATGAAGTTTATATTGTACTTGACTACCTCCTAGCCATTGTGCGATGTGTCGTGTGACTGCGGCCACCACCCTGAAGTCGTACACAGGTTCCTCCCTGTACTATGTAAGAAGTCTACAGGTCTTTCATTTCGCCCTCCTCTAAGCGGAAGCTCCACCACGTGTACATTCTTCCTCTGCCACTCTTGTCCCTTTTCCCCAGGATGCGGCGGCATCGCCAATTTGCGCGGAGGCTCCTTGCTCACATCGATTCTCCCAGTGGAGTAGGTCCCTGTTCTGTTCTCGAATTCCATGTGTAGGGCCATTTCGCCTTCTTCGGGGACGAATCGCACGCGTGTTGGAAGCCAGTCTGGCATCTTCTCTCCAGACAGGGCTTCAAGAGCTTCTATAAGGATCTCTTCGTCGACGGTGGCGACGTTCCAGTTCTTGTGTATCTTGTTGGTTTCGTTGACTATCCAGGCTTGCATACGCTTGGCGCGTGTGAGCTCCGCAGCCACGTCCGAGGGGCTGCCTGGCGAGGCGGATGGTGAGCGCTGGGTAGTAAGATCTCGCGTCATGCGGTGCCATGGGGCAATGGCCATCTGGAGTGGAGTGTGTAAGCGCATTGTCAAAAGCGGAATGTGTTTGGACACTGAGTCTGCCCATCTGTGCGACTTCTGCAGCCAGAGTGCGCTATCCACGTCAATGATTCGTAGTTGCTGAGGCGACGGGAGTAGCGATAACGCCGCTTCAGCTGGAAAGTATCGATAAAGCGTATCCGCAAGGCCGTAGAGGAGCGACTGTAACATCCAGCTTCTGGTGCAAAGTATAAAGTCTTGTACCGAATTGAACTCGAGGGTGTCGGGCATCAGGTCGGCGACGTTCGGTGACGGTGGAATCGGTACCACAGACACGGTTGTTTCAATGAGCTCAGCTACATGCTGCGACACGTCGATCTGCATTAGACCCTCCAAATATGACATGGCAATTGCAAGCGCGGTCGTGTCCTCGGGGTTCGAAATGGCTTCTCGGATCAACGCTACCGCGTAAGGGCACTGAATGAAAACGTGCATGACGGCCATCGACGCTCTCTGTGATGGCGACAGCACGACATCTCTTGTATTGATCGGAGGTGGGATTGTAGCCGACAGGTAATAGTCGTTGTGGTATACTGACTTCCGACCCGACATCATCGCCTCGTGAACCTTTCGACATCAGCAGCGAACTCCCAAGACCGACCAGTACTCACATCATCGATATAGGTATTGTCGATCAAATTCCAGAAATGATCGTCATCAACTTCCGCCACCGCACCTGACCTCAGCAGCTCGGCGATTCCGAACGCATGAATCGCGTAATACATAGTATCGAGCCCCAGAAGAGCCTGCATGTGATCAGCAAAACACGTCGACGTCTGACAGGCTGACTAACCTCAGCAGCGTAGTGTAATTTCGTAGCCAACAGGATGTCGTACGTGACCTTGTTATCAGTGTTCATCACGGCGAGCTGCAATTCCTTGAGCGCTTTAGCCTTTGAAGCTCTCGCGACCTTGCGCTTCGAGTGCATATCATCTCGATACGTAGCGTGACTATCGACGAAGAACTGAACGGCCAAATCAAGCATCTTGTTCGACCCGATGCGCGAGGGAATAGACTGTATCCAGGTCCCTAAGACCTCAAAAGGCTGCCTACCGGCGGGCTCTGGTCCGAGCACGCCAACGTATCGGGAGATCAGGGTCGTCTCGGGCGAGGATGGCAAATATGATGCGAGAGGACTCTCTTCTCGTAGCTTCTGGAGATGTACTTGAAGCGCAAGATTCTGCCGGTATTCTCTCATCTTCGACGGCTGCATCCTAGATCTTGAACGCGGTGCCAGGGTTTGAAAGCAACCTAGGCGATCGTCGGTGTGCCTTTCGGTAGTGATGCAGAGGTCTGAGGAATTTGACGAGGACGAGCCGGCTGCGAATGAGGTTGTTGATGACGAGCTTGAGCCCTCGTCAGGAGAGTTCAAGGGATATACGGCAGAGCCAGTCTTGGATCTTCCATGTTTGGTCAACTGTCTGGGATCCTGCACGACGAATGCTGAGGCTTTGCCGTAGGAGTAGGCACATGGTCTGTCTTTCTTCCTGCATGCGCTGCATTTGGGTCGCACTTCGTCACACTAGGTAGCCATTAGTAAGAACATATTCATTCCGCAACGACTTGCAACGCTTTGCGATAACATGATTGCGGGGATTGAAACGCGTCTTACCTTGACCTTGCGCTGCCGACAGGTGTCGCACTTTCCAGTCTGCGTCATGACAATTACCGGATCACGTATGCGTGGCGTAGTTTTGGAGCCTCGAGGATGCCTGAACACATTTGAGGATGGCCGTCAAAATGCGATGAGAGGTGGCTTGATCACAGGGCGCGGCTGCCTAACGCTCAGCTCCAACGCAGAGTCTTTGCGCATAGGCCACATTCAACCCATCCCAGGAACTGTCAATTGATGCGTGTACGCGACCGAAAATTATGAGCGAATCTGTTTCCGACGTCAAGTCGCGAAAGCCGACAGCAGAGAGGATGCCGTTCCTGCGGGTGGAGGTTTCAGGCCGCAGTAGCGTGGACAAATACGGTTAGCTGAGGTTCTTGGCTCACCTGGGCAGCATCCAGCTGAACCTTAGAAGCCACCCCTCTCGTCTGACATCGATACGTCCTTCGGGAAGCTTACTACCGCAATCTCACTACAGGGAGTTTGTTCCGTGCGACACTGAGAGACGGGCACTCTCACACCTCATAGCTTCTATCCAGCGCTACACCACGTCGATAGTATATGCGTTCTCCCAGCTCTCAGCTTCGTGGCCAGAATCAACGGAAAGGAAAGCGTTCGACTGCTCTGGTCTCAATACTTAGGCAGTTCAGACGGCTACATCGTTCGGATGCGCGCAATCAGAACTATACGTGGTAGACTGCAGCTGAGGAAACTGAGGAAAGAACGCTCGGAAGCGGAAACAAGATGTAATACATGCTTTTGATAACAAGAAACACTGGCTAAGCTTAGGCTCGTAGGGCTTCGAGAATGGTGCGCAAAACTGGCACCATTTGAATACCAGCTTCTGGAAACACCTGACACAATTCGAGTAATCCGCATTAGACCCGCTGAGTCAGCAAGCTCTTATGTTGACGATACTCCCCGGAGTGCGAGACGACCTGAGCCATTCGATATGAGCGAGAGCATCGAGTGCGATATCGAACATATCCGAATGAACGAGGTCTCCTATGAAGCTTTGTCTTACGAATGGGGCTCACCCGCCGATGACGATCCGGCTATTCTCCTCAATGGCCATTTCTTTACTGTGCGACGCAACCTGTTTGACGCGTTGCTTACTTTTAGACGCGAAGAAAGACAACACTACGATCTTCGAATTTGGATTGATGCACTGAGTATTAACCAGTCCGACACGCGAGAGAGAAATCATCAAGTCGAGCTCATGGGTATGATCTATCGTCGAGCCACCAAGGTGCTAATATGGCTTGGTATGACTGACAGTCATATCGCACATATTATCGAAGAGATCAACAATCCATTGGATGGGATTTACATGGGGATAGAACCAGTATGGAATGACACCATCTATTCTGCAATTATCGAGCTGTGTCAGAAATCATACTGGAACCGCGTTTGGGTCCAACAAGAGGTGTTCCTGGGTGGCAAGATTTACATCATATCTAGTTGGGAAGATCTTCTAAACTACGAAAGATTCGATCTTATCCTTGGTTTAATGACACGAGATGATAGTCTGTGTGGCAAAGAGATATCTGCCACAATTAGGCAGAGTGCTGCCAACGCTCTTATCACACGAAAACGGCTGCCTATGGACTCAAGTCCTCTAATAACATGGTTGCGACTGGCATGCCACAGAGGTCTCAAGACTTCCGAACCACGCGATCTCATCTATGCGATGCTAGGTATCAGCTCTGACTGTCAGGACGGCGGCATTGAGCCTGATTACGACAAGCCATTGATGGATGTTTATCTTGAAACTATACATTTCTGTGGATTACACAAGCCAGGGCAGGAGAACAAACGGTTTCGAAAGACGCTGGCTGAGAAACTTGGGCTGCCATGGGACGGTGATATGGAGACAAGGATCCAGGAGTATCGTCAACAGAAACCCACAGTACGGCGGGAAGACTAGATCGAGGCCACGCCCCTCGTTCTTCAGCAGACTGAGCAGGCTAGGGGTAGACATGCCTTTCATAGTCGTTGAAATAGTGCTTGCTCACGCACTGACGATCTCCACGCTTACTCATGGGCTCGTCGTTGATGAATACACAAAACGGGTCTATTGTCTCTAGGAAAGCGCACTGAAGCCACACTGGTAAACACTAGGCTACCTTAAACCCATGCTGTCACCTCCTCACATTGTCTTGTAGCAATCCGCACACACACAGTTACGCGACAATGAAGCTGCTACCATCGATACCATAGTTCCTCGTCAATCTCCTCCCGTAATTCCTTGCTACCTCAAACCTCAATTTTCCCTCAGGATGCGGCTCGTGGAAATTGATTGGCTGCCTTGCCGTAATAACACCCCCCTCTCTCGGTGTGAAGCGCCATACAGAGCCATACACCTTCTCGGGTGAGAAGCCAATCGTGTTCATAGCTGAGAGGAATTCAGTCCATGGGACTTCACCGGGATGCGAGCTTGCAGACGGCTGGAAGAATATAGTCGAGAATGTGTGCTGTGTCTTTTTCCCAACGGTGAAGCGCGGTGTAGGCGGAGTGTTTGTTTCCTCAGAAGCGACTGGCTGCAAGTCTGCTGCGACTTCGACAGGCTCAGTGGAAGGATCATTCGCAATCCCCCTGGTCTTGCGCTTCTCACTCCGAATTGGAAGGTCTACAGGGTCGGGCTGCTGCTCCGGTATGAGAGGCGTGATGTATTCCTGCAGGGCAGCATCTTTCTTCGCTTTGTTGGAAGGTTTCGCCGGTTCTATCCAGTCTGGCGTCCGTTGTATTTGTCCTCTTGACGGCGCTAGGGATTCAAGAGCCTCGAGGTGTTTTTTCTTCAAATACTTCTGCACGTGAGCATCGAATTTGCTCCAAAGCTCATCGAGCCGTCGTTCAGTAGCCTGCATAATCTCTACGTTCTCTTTGGTTCTTCGCTTGCCGACAGGGTACGGCATTGTCTTTGGATGCCCGAGCTCACCAAGAAGGAGAAAATCATATCGGCGTTTGGCATCGTATTCTGGACCGCATTCCGGGTCTAAGATCACGTTTAGTTCTTTCACAGAAACCTCCATGACTATCTCGTGATAGTCGCGGTCGGCTCCAACGGTACAGTACTGCTCATCAGGTTTGAAAGCTTGTGGGCACACCAGGCGCAGGCGAGCTCGTAGTTCAAAACAAATAGCTAGGTCTGACACGAGCTATCAACGTGTACGAGGTCAGTGGCTATCTCATACGCATTTCTTACATGGGTAATGACTGACCTGTGCGACCAAGGGTGTGATTCTGTACTTCTGGTCCTTGTCCTGTTGTATAACTCGAGCCATTTCCCTGACTACAATTTGAGGAACCCCAAGGCCTTCCTCAGACCAAAGCAAGGAACACAGCCATAACAAATAGTCTTTCCCAAAAGAGCTCGGGTCTCTGAGCAGGGGTAATTCCTCTGGAACTGCATGGTCACGTACGAACATGCCGCGCACCGGTGGTGAGCCAATGAAGCAACTCGGCAACCGTGAAGCTAGGCTTTTGATAAGGCGCATATCAAGTAAATCTTTCAAGTCCGCGACAGCCTCTACCCATGCATCATGCCCTTCTTGTTTCTCCAACCGTGTCAACAGCAGCCGAGCAACCTTGTGTAGAGCAGCTTGTGCAGCATGCCACATGACAAGATTCTCGTAATAATCCATGATGATCGAGTATATCGTAATGTGCCAAAAGTCTTTTTGAAGGGCTGGATCAGTAAGATGGGGGCTTTTCCTTCCCTTCCTGTCCAATACATGTGTAGGGCTGTGTTCATCTACATGCATCGGGTCAGCGTGCTTCAATCGATGCTCCTCACGGCGCCTCGCACTTACAGAACTCGCTAACAGCATTAGTGAAATAGGATGGATCATCGCGCATAGCCCAGGCATGGTCCTTCCACTCGTGTATTCTAGCCGCTATAGAGGACATGATTTTGAGAAAGTCGTCCCATTGTGGGGCGGTATATGGACTGTCTTGGGCTAGTGCGAAAGCCGAGTCCCATCCATCCTCTTTTGTCGTTCTTATTTCGGGGGGCTCGGGTTGTTCGGGGGCTTGGAAGAAGGCCTTGAACCCGTCCAGACCACCTTCTACGTCGGGAAGTAGCTCAAGGCAGATCTTGACGAGGAAGGCCATCAGAGGCTGCTGTATCTGTAGGACGATAAAAGCCTCGCTCGCGCGCCTCACGTGTTTTTGAGATTCCAGAGCGACCGGAAGCTTGACCGGAAGCCCGTATTCTTGTAGATCAGTAGGATGCATCATCAGATAGTAACCCCATTCGCTGGGTTTGTATTTATCTTGCCATTCGCGTACTGTCTCATTTTCCGAACTAGGTGAAACTTCCCTATCTTCGGGTTCCTTGCCGTTGGATTCGTCTTCCAATATAGCTTTGTGTTGGCCTTCGTCGTTTGGGTCGTAATATATCGGACGCACCTTGATAACATTGATGTTGCGACCGAGCTCTGAGCTTTGCCAATCCATCTCGGCAAAATTGTTGGGTGTATACCGTCCGCGAGAGTTCAGAAGCTGTAAGACATGTGTTGGAGTCACGAGGTCCTCTGTATTGATATATGGCCATTTGTATACATCTTCTCTGATCGTGGAAGTGGAAGCCTCGCTGAACTCTCGTCTTTCGACTCTGTAGTAGTCGCGAAGGTCTGGGCGATGCTGGTGTGGCATTTGCGTGTGCCATGATCGTTCAAGAATAGCTTTACGTTGAGTACGCGTCTTCTTTGTCCATCTCTTCCGTATAACGCCCTCGGATCTTATCAAGATGGCGTTCAGCATGCCATAGTCGGCCATTATTGACTTGACTTTTCCAAATGTCTCTTTGTGAAATTCTCCATAGGGCATTGGCACCGTTTGACCACTGTCAAGGAGCCGCCAGGGTCTCTCTGCGGGTTCTATTGGTTTGGGCTTGACGAAGTTGGTACATTTTGGCTGTTCCATAGCTGGTCGCGGTTCCTCGAGGTCAACTCCTGAGGGGGACGGAGGGAGCTTTCACGTGAGATCCTGCAGAAAAGCTGATCAATGCTGATGCGGCGGTAACGTAAGTAACCATGTAGGGATTCAATAATGACGCCAGTTCCAATCGACAACAGCCGTGTTTACTGTTCCTGCGTTATTGCGAGAAGGAAGATGGGGAACGCGACAAAAGCGATCTGGTCGAATTGCTCGGGCCGACTGTCGCGCATTAGCCCCGCACTGCAGATCCCTACCACAAAAAGGGGCGATTTGACTGATCTCAGTAACGGATCGCAATGCACATGTCTTCTGAAGTTTTTGGTGCTGCGAAACTCCTCAATTGAGAGCAACCTGTTCCCGCACACTTCAACACATGGTCGAATAGATCCAACGACCGAATGTCCGACTCGACTTTCCTTGCGTATAAGTCGTATAGATTGCGGAAGATACAACTATGTCGAATAGAGATGAATGAACGGTGCCCAAGCAAACGCTACAACTGAATTAAAGCCATTCATGCCTCAACATCTCATGAACAACTCTTCACGCAGTGTTCCTCCCAATACCAGCCTTATACCTAGCCAAGCACCTCTCCCTCGCGAACTTATGCTCAACAACCGGCTCGGGATAGCCCTTCGCCTTCGCAATCTGCGCGGCCTTTCCACCCGCCGCATACGGATTATGTATAGCCGCCCCCTCGACCTCTGCCAGCTCCGGTAGCCACAGCTTGATAAACTCGCCCTGCTCATCGAACCTCTCCGACTGCGTCCACGGGTTGAAGATCCTAAAGTACGGTTGCGGATCTACACCTGTCGATGCACTGAAGCCCCAGCCGCCGTTGTTGGACGCGAAGTCGCCGTCGATGAGGTGCGTGATGAAGTATTGTTCGCCGAGGCGCCAATCGAGGAGGAGGTGTTTGGCGAGGAAGGAGGCGGTTATCATGCGCATGCGGTTGTGCATGTAGCCTGTGTGGTTGAGGCAGCGCATGGCGGCGTCGACGATGGGGTAGCCGGTCTGGCCTTGTGTCCAGGCTTGGAAGTGCGCGTCGTTGTACTCCCATTCGATGTTTGTGTATTCGAATTTGAAGGGCTTGTTCATGCTGGGGTTGTGTTAGTATATTCGTGGTATAGAGGGTATTGGACGGGCATACCAAACGTAGGGCCAGTGTACAAGCACATGCCGATAGAAGTCCCGCCATGCGACTTCTCCCAACCAGCCTTTGACGCCATCCTTCCCTCCGTCGAGTCTCTTCGCGCTGTTGACGTCTCGAGCCATACGTATACTGGTTCGTGCCGCCAGCGTGCCAGCAGCGTGATGCACACTCACGCGTGCGGTGCTGTTCATCGCGGGAAAGTTGCGCGTGTCCTTGTATTTTACCACCTTTTCTTCCAAGAAGCGCTCCAGGCGATCCATAGCAGCGGCCTCACCTGCGGGCCACAGTTGCTGGAACCGTTCCCTCTCTTCTGCCGTCAACGCTTTGCACTCTGGTAGATCGGGGACTTTCGTGTCGAAGAGCTGAGTGAATTTCTTGCGGAAGGCTGGAGGATTTCGCTCAGGCACAGGGCGCTCGTTCATAAGATGTGGATGCTCATGCAGATGTGCAACCCATGATCGGAACCAAGGGCTGTACATCGCATATTGCTTTCCACCTCCTGTCTTGAGACTACCAGGTGGTACCACGCAGTCGTCGTGGTGCGGCTCGAAGTTGATGCCCTTCTCCAGCATCATGCGTACCAAGCGCTCCTCCCGCCGAAGCTCGTCAGGTTCGTATTCCAAGTTGCAGAAGACGTTCTTCGCATTCCATTCTTCTGCCAACTCCACCAACCGCTTTGTTACGTTCTTTCGTTCGGGAATCGTTTCGATGTAGAGGGGGATGTTGAGTTCTTCGAGTTCCTTCTTGAGTGTCTCCACAGAGCGCAACTCGAAATGACATTTTGGCGGGCTGACCAGGTGAGCCTCCCAGTCTTGCGGGCTCATGAACCAAACGCCTATCAGACCCACTCCCTTCTTCTCAGCCAATTGTGCTGCTTGAGACAAGCCAGTATTATCTCCTATCCGCAGATCCCTCTTGAACCAGTGTACCACCGCGTCGCCATGTTGCGATTTCTTCCCGTCTTTGATAGCCTCTCGTTTGTCCTTTGTACTCTCCAACGTCTTGTTCAGAATCTCGATCGGGCGCGGTACCTCATTCTGATTGTACAATGCGCATCGTTCATTGCTCATTTCGGCAGGATAGTATCGTCGATCGACGATGCCGGCTCTCTCTTCTGGTCTCGAATGGTCAAAGCCTTCTTCCTCCTTCTTCACGGCCTCTCCAGGCGCTCCATTCTCGGTGTTCTTCGCTATCGAGTCTACGGGAGGCGCGTCTTTCGAGGTGGCTTTTGGGAGAGGTTTGGCGATGCGCGAGCGCTTGTTGGAAGCGTCGCCGGACACGTCGGTGTAGTTCTTCGCGGATGCCGCATTGGCGGGTATGCTTGCTTTACGTTTCGGTGGCATCGTGGCTAGTCTCTTCGCGGGGAAGGATGGTTGTATGCGTAGAAAGGGTTTGACGGATAGCAGGAGCCTTGGACGTGCGAGCAGCATACGCGTTTCGTGGAACCGCAGAATGGTCGAGATGAGGATAACCTCCTGAAACAGGATTTAATGAAGCCATTGCCGTGCTAACTCGACGCGTTCAGCTGTCGCGTCCCTTTAGCACCGATCGATGACGCAGATGGTCCCTGGAACATGGAGAGTTCAGATCGATGCCAGATAAGCGAGCTGACCCCTGCATACTGCGAGCCGCACGATCACGTGTCCTCAGATACTTCACTTTCTCAACGCGACAAACAGTCAACATTACAGGCTTCGCCAACAGATCTCGCAATATCAGTACGCGAATCTGATTACGTACATTATGCTATGACGACGTCTAGTGCAGCGTTTTGAGCGACCGGCCCGCCTTCGGAAAGGATTATCACCAGCAACCTTGGCCTCGGCCGACTGTCTTCATTTCCAACGATAGATGATTGGAACAGGTTCGAGCATGGCCTAAGCAAGATACCCACCGCCCAGTGCGGCTCCAAGAGACTCCGCTATTCAACGACGTCTCGAGGTCGTTGAGCCTTGGCCGCCCACAAGTCGACTGTGCCCAGGTTGTAGAGATCGTATAGCACGGCTTCCAAGGCCTACTATCAAGAGCCTGATTCACTTCTCGCTCGACGTGCCCGACCGGAAGTCATGGCCATCCGTTCCGAGCTCGCTTCGGGCCGACTACCTTCTATCAAGGGAGTACGCGAGAATCGTCTTTGGATGCTCAACTTGAATCTTGTTTAATGCCATCATGTGTAGCTAGGTAGGTACATAAGTAATTCGAAAAATCCTTTCGGTAGGTGCTTCCATAACAAGCAGATCGTTCTGTTCCCCATCTACTACTTCCCAGACATGCTGAACATGAACGTCAAAACATTGCTTCTGCATCTTCTAACAAACATCACAAGTGCCTCTACCCTCTATCCGACAGTCAAAACGACCAACGGAACCCTCACTGGAATACACAATCCAAACTACAACCAAGACTTCTTCCTCGGCATCCCCTATGCCCAACCCCCAACCGGGCCCCTCCGCTACCGCCGCCCTGCGCCTCTCGCCCATCGCTTAGGACACTTCGACGCAAACAATTACGGACCAGGATGCATTTCCACTTCCATAAACCTACCCGTATTCTCACAAACCACGCCATCCTACCCCGAAAGCGAAGATTGCCTAACCCTCAATGTCGTCCGACCCGCTGGTCTCGACAAAGGCGCTAAACTCCCCGTCCTACTCTTCATCCACGGCGGTGGTTTCCAGGAAGGCAGTGGTGGGGATCAACGCTATAACATGTCTTTCCTCGTGCAAGAATCAGTCACAGTCGGCGCGCCCATCATCGGCGTCACGATTAACTACCGGCTATCTGGCTTCGGTTTCCTGCCCGGCAGTGCGGTACTGGAGTCTAAAGTAGCGAATCTGGGTTTGCACGACCAGCGCCTGGCGCTTTGGTGGGTGAGGGACAATATTGCTGCGTTTGGTGGAGATGCGGAAAGGGTTACGATCCAAGGAGAGTCGGCAGGTGCGATGTCAATTGGACATCACCTTGCTGCGTATGGAGGGAAAGATGAGGGTCTTTTCCGCGCCGCGATTGTACAAAGTGGTGGGCCGGCGGTTGATGCGAGGGGAATGTCGATGCAGGAGCAGGACGTCCTCTACGACAACTTGCTCAGACAGACCGGTTGTATGCTCGAGGAGGACACGCTCGAGTGCCTGAGGAGTGTACCCGTCGAGGCGCTCAAAGTCGCTTTCCAAAATCAATCATTGATCCCAGTTCCGGACGGCCAATTCTTCGATGGAAACTCGCGCATGGCTCTGAAGCAGGGCAGATTTGTACGGGTGCCTATACTTGCTGGTGCGAATACGAATGAGGGTACATCGTTTACCACAAGTCAGGGTTTGAAAGGGATAAGTGACCCCACCCAGTTCCGGGCAGTCGTTGCGGGATG